CAAGAGAAGCCATTGTGCTTGGAGCAAAGGGATCCACGGAGTAAGAAGTTTTGAGCCTCATTTGTCTGCCTCTTTTTCTCTTAGTCCAATTTAATTCCTGCATAGATCCTTGAAAATCTGCAAGTTTTCTAAATAGCTGCTGAAAAACTGCACTGCAAAATAAGAAAGAGAAGATGGCCCTGTCTCTGCTAGGATCTAGATCTAGAAAAGCAAATGATATTCTTGTCAATCTATCCCTAAAGGGACGAATTCTAACAAAGGAGTCTTGTCCTCAGTTGTACCCCCAGCACCAAGACCAGCACCTGGAATGCACACTGAGTGAATGACATGCCAACAAATGTCTTATTACTGCTTGGTATAATAACAGTACATAGCATTTGGTGTCTTTTGGGGGGGTTTCTTTTCCCTAATCATCTACCTTAATGATTTTTACTTTTTCACATTTTATCCCACTCTTGCAAAATCCCAGAGCCAACAATTTTGATAACAGACATCATTTTTTAAGCCATATAACAATTTCTTCAATATGCCCATAAGGAGACATGAAGGCTGATGTTTACTAAAGTTTTATTTATGGTCGCAAAAAAAAAAAAAAAAATGAGAACAGTCTTATTGGGCAACACTGAGAGAGTAGATAGGTCAAACTCCTGTTTCTGGAATTGTTCGAGTTATTATTACTGCATAACAAGCTAGCTCAAAACTTAATGCCATAAAACAAACATGTCATGTTCATGGATTCTATGTTTAGGAATTAGGACAGATCGCTGTCTGTCTCTGCTCCAAGATGTCTGGAGCTTCAGGTGGAAATTCTCTGGTTTGGGGTGATTCTTGGGATAGTCTTTGAGGGCTGGAATCATCTGGAGGCTTCTTCATTCACATATCTGGCAATTGATGCTGGCCGTGGGCTGGGACATGTAGACCAGATGGACCTACATGTGGTCTGAGCTTCCTAATAATCGGTGGCCTCAGAGTGATCAGACTTGTCATGTGACAGCTCAGGATTCCAAAAGGTGAGTCTCCTGCGATATGCGCCCGAAAGCTGTGACTTTCCATGTCAGAATAAACGTCAAAATCCTAACGAGGTCCTACACAGTATTGCCAATTGTATGGGACAGGATGATTCAGTGGGAGGGTAGAAACAAGGGTGGGAGCAGAGATCTCACTGTTAGAAAAGGCTCCAGAAAATCCAGATGAACCATGCAAGATCATTTTGCAAAAGTTGTGCATTCCTAATTCTTTATACAGTTTTGTCTTGAGCATTACAGGACTGCCAGGATTTCTGGTTCTGACCTATGAAAGCCAGTTGTGCCCCAGTCATTGAAACAACCAAAACATCCACGCATTTTCAAAATACCCCTGAAGAGAGCAGTACAATTTTATTGAAAACCACTGTTGTAAAATGTAACAATTGAACTAGTGCTTCTGGAATGAATATATGAGAAAGAAACTTGCAAAAGGTATTTGTTAGTTGGCCCCATGGTGTAATGGTTAGCACTCTGGACTTTGAATCCAGCGATCCGAGTTCAAATCTCGGTGGGACCTGCTTAGGTTTTGCTTTGTTTTTAAAATTTTTTTTTTTTTTAATCTAACCTCTCTCTGCAATTTCGTCTCTTAAAACTAGGGTGTTTCATTGCAATCCAGCCCATCACACGTCCTAGTATCTGACTAGCAGTAATATCTTTGTCAGTCCTCAGAAGTTGAGCCCACCTACTGAAGCAAGCCCATATACAGAAATCATCACTGCAAGTCTTCATCCTGTGACCTGTGTCCAGATGCGGATGGAGAGGGGCGTGTCTCTCAGGTGTCTCCCCTCGGCTTAATGCCTAGAAAGGAATATGTGTGTGCATACAATAGAAATATCTGTTTTTAAAAGAATGGCCACGTTACTCTATGACTGGAAAAAGGTGTCTAAACTGAGAAGATCTATTTTATTTGAAGGCGATAAACTTGGAGTGATTCTGTTTTATTCTTTTTCATGGAATGCTCTGAATGAGAACGGGATTCCAGCCCGGATAGGAGGAGCACAATGGTCAGGCCACACTGTCCTATAATAGCTGCAAATTTGTTAGGTTCTTTCTTAGACTTATTTTTGGTAAAGCCTCTGCACTTTGATTAAGCTGATACATATGGTACTGTTCTTCAAACTGCTGGTAGCAACCCATGAATGTGCAGCCCTTGCTGTCACCTTAGAGATTCTCACACAAGTCCATTCCCCTTTGCTTGAGGCAGCTTTTTTACATTGTAATGATTGCTGTCCTAACCTGCACACATCTCCAGCCTCATTTGTCACCATACCTGCAGCACACATAGCCCAGAATTAGCTTCTAGTCACCAGCCACGGTAACATTATTTCAATTCCTTTATTCTTTTCCCCCTCTCTTCTCATTTTCTACCTGCAAAACATTTTTGTCCTCCCCTCTACCCTCATGTTACGAGGGCTAGTTCTTTACTCATTCCTCAAGTATTAACTTAGACATTCCAGACCTTCTTACTGAGTCCTTCCCTGGCCTCCCTTTATCTGGGCTCAGGTGCCCCATCTATATCTCCTCAGCACTCTAAATCCCCTTCCCACACCACCTCATATTTTAATTGCTTGTTTAATAAGCTCTCCTTCCTGCTCTAGACAGCTAGTTCTCCTAGGGGAGGGACCAGTCCTGTGGCCCTGTTTGCCTTTCCGTTCTCAGTCCGACCTGGCTCATGTTAGTTCAAAAATACTTGCTGAGTCATGAACTTTCATCTAATCTGGTTTGATCGTTCCAGAACCTGGGATAGTTCATGTCCATGTTTTGTTCCAAATCTTTCTGCGTTGCTTCTTCTCAAATTTCTTTTCATTTTTTCCTTCACTGATCCCAAGTCTACATCCACTCTGGAGGTGAATTTCAACCATGACTCTGTCTTAATGATGCCACCCAGTCAGTAGGTAAAGGGGGGAAAGGGAGGTGTGTGATCGGATCACTACATTCTTCACATTTTGGATGAGAATTCACTTCACAAGAAAGGCTCCTTTCACTACATTCTTGGCCAGTGGTCCTGGAAGTCACTTCGGGCCTAGTTTTGGTTACCTATTGGTTATAGGGAGTCCAGGACCTGTCACGGGCTTAGCCCCTGGAAGGCACTAATTACACATTTGTGATTAATTTGAAGATTTTTTATTGCTGCACAGTAAGCAAGGATTTAAGCTGAAGGTGCTCCTGTATCCTTCCTAAGGGAGCAGGAAGGAGACGTGGCCTCTGAAGCCCGCACTTACTCTTTCCATGGTCGGTAGGGAGCTGGCGCGTAGGATATGGCCCTGGAGAAGCACGGATGTATTCTCTCTGCTAATCCGGAGCCACTGCTGAAGTCAGGGGCATCGTTCTGCACTTGATGCACCTTTGTAAACCTATCAGGAACCTCCTCAAGGACAAGGCCATTGGAACTATTTCCCTCTTTGGCATTGGAAAATGTGATTGAACTAGTGTATTGGGGACTGGCTGATTATGTTCGGCGGCAAGAAATCTACGGGGCTTTCCCAGCGCAGGTCAGAAATCATCCCCTTTTTAAGGACCTTTTCCTTTTCTCCATCGGAGTTTGGAATCTCTCGTGGAGGATTTTTACCCTCTCTCCCGAGGGTTTCCTACTCCCTCCGTGCAAACAAGGGACTGTTCTTAAACATGCTCGATCTGTTCTAGGTTTGAGAAAAACTCCCAATCCAGCTTTCCAGAAAATACTGAATTTAAAGACTTTGTCCAGTGATAGCCACTTGCAAAAGTTCCGTTGCAAAAGAATCCAACAAGAAGCCTCTTGCCGGTTTTCTACAGGAAGAGTTACTGCGTTGTGGTTTTGTCGTTCGTCCGTTTGGGGGTGGAGGGGGATTGCTCTTTGACATCCACAAGAGGGCGCGCGCGGTCCTCGAGTTTCCTCTCTTAAAATCTGACGTCCTAGAAGACAGCCACAACCAGGAAGCCTGGAAATTCAATTTCCACTAAGCACCCTCTTGCTGGACAGGCACCGAATCCCGCTAAACTACTTGGAGCAGAGCTGGACTCCTTTCTATCACTAAGGAAATTGCTGAAGCTCTCGCTTCTACATTTGTGCTGAATATTGTCTCGCTTCCAGGCAACTAAAAGCCAGCGGGAGTAGTTCGTGAAGGTGCTGGGAAGGTAGGACGCGACTCAGAACATCCAGAGAACGTCACAGAAAGCTGGAGAGTGCGAGGAAGAAAGGGGACATTCTCACAGTATGGGCTCCTATGTATGCGGGAATCTTTTTTATGGCCATTTTGGAGTCTCGCCCGTGGACTCTCTGGTGAATGAGCAGTAGGACCGCGGGGCTGCGCGCTGTCCTGGGACACTCCCGCGGTCCTTCCTTTCCCCTCCTCTTCGCCCCCTGGGTTGCTCCCGGGGCTGCTGGGATCTTCCTCCCGCCTCGTCGTCCAAGTACACTTGTTTTCAGTTTTCCGTAAACATCAACGTCTCTCCTGTGACTTTGCTAAACCCTTCGATACGCGTCTTCAAAGCGCCAGATACCACCCTAGTAAACGGCGGTTGTTATGAAAGCAGTAGGATCTGATAACGAAACGGAGTGAAAGATCTCAGGTCTCTCACACGTTCCTCACCTGTAAAATAGCGCCAACGGTCCCCATCCCACAGGGTTGTTGTGAGCCTTAGGTGAGGTAACAATACAAAACGCTTGTCACAAAACCTGACACACGATTAGGGCTCAGTTTTGGTCAAAGACTTCATTTTTTTTTTTTTTCCAGTTTAGAAATAGAGGCAGGCGCATCAAGTTTCTGAACCACTTAGAAGGAAAGGCTTGGGAGGGATTCTGAAATTAAAAGTCAATGGTTTCCTAAATTGAGACTCTAGTATAAAGGATGTTGGGTGCAGGTATACCAGGTAAGCATCCATGACTTATTCGTATAGAAGAAAACCAGAATGTGAATTTACCTGTCCAGCAAATCAGGGCATTTAGGGAGGAAGAAATAGGTCATCAAAATATTTAGGGAAGTGAAACAGGTGAGAGGTCCCGTGGTGTAGTGGTCAGCATTTTGGACTCTGAATCCAGTGATCCGAGTTCAACTCTTGGTGGGACCTTAAGCTAGGTTTTTAGTTTGATTCCTATGACCTCTCCACAAACTTCTGATTACTCTGCTATTTATTCATCTCTTTTTCATTCCACCCTGGAGAAGTTTTTATTCACAGGTACATAAGCTAAATGTCAGGGGAAAGACCTATCCCCTACCTTAAGTGATATATTTTCAACACAATTTTATTTTTCATATACTGTATAAGTATTTATCAAAAATTAGATATTTTCTTCTTTTTATTGATTGCATACTACTATTAAATTTAAAAACAACTGAAACCAGAGAAAAACACTTAAAATATAGAGAATTACTGGTAATAACTAAAATTCATCTCTCAACTTTTATGTATTTTTCTATTTCAGAGTGGTATATGATAGGGTGATCAGTCACAGCCTTTAAGAATAAACATGTAACATAGCGGGATAAAATTCTGTGGCAGATATGGAATACCTTTGAAAAAGAGAAAAAGGATTCGTGTACATTTTTTTGACTGTTAAATAAAACTATGCCAAGTATATTTTTAAAGGATTCTAGTGCATATCGAATTTTTAGTTTTTAGGTTCCAATGGACAAAATTCATTGATCAGCCAGACTCTTCTAACGTTCACATTTTACCAGATGCTGGCAATTACATTCTTTGGAATGATTTAAATTTATGAAGAGACATTTTAGAAGACCACTGGAAAACAATACATGAGAGCACATAAATATTGTTACAATTCTTGAAGATTCTAAGGGATTAAAATAGCTTGAAGATGCTGTTCTTGATTAAAACAATAAAATAATAGAAAAAAGCAAGTCCCTCCTCATCATCTCATGCTGAAACTCTTTCATTTCTATTCTTCAAGTGGTTTTTTTCTCTTCCATGAATTTCCCATTTGTGTACATTTGCTTTAAAATGGTTTGTATTTTTATTATGATTTTGTAAGCATTGAAGCATATTTTTATTAAGATTTTTTGCTCAAATATGTCTTTTGTAACAGTTTCCAAGTCAGTATTTTTTCTTCTGAGTTCTCTTATTAATTTCAACTACGTTTTGTTATTTTATGTTTCATATTAAAATCACTAATCTACCTGTAGCTTGATTTCTTACACAGTTGAGGGGTCTGTCTTTGTTTCCTTGCATAGGCAAAGTTATTTGTGTCATCACAATATATTTTAAAATCACCTTTGCCCACTGAAATGAAATATTAACTTTGTGATATGTTAATTCTCATGTATCCTTGTGTACATTTAATTTATCCATTTCCCTCTATATATACTTATAACAATGCTAAGATCTTTTGATTAGATTTTCTCTTAATACATTTTACTTCCCCAGAGCCTTCTTCCCTTATGGTAGTTGACATTTTTAGGCACAGAGGAATAAGGAGATAAAGAGGAAGAGGCTGGAAATTTAAACATTTCATTTTGTAATTTCTGGCTTCTAGTAAAGAACTAAGAACCAATTAGGCAGCTAATGAGCACACATATGAACCAGTAGCCTGGAGTACAGAGATCTCAGGAGCCGGATTCCAGTCCTTTGGACCTCTGTTTAATTACCTTACTCATAGTAAAGATGTTGGTTCCATTAAGCACAGTATAGTTTCCTTGGTGAACCCTGCAGGCTTTGAAGGATCCAGAAAATGACAATAGGTTATAAAAGGGCTTCAGCATTTGTTTGAGATATTCGGAATAAATATCTCAAATAAAACTCATAGTTTGCATAAATGAAAACGAGGATCAATCTCTGAAGGCCATCTTTTGATTTTCATAATTCACACCTCAAGGGCAGGCTGAACCCCCCCCATTTTTCTCTTTTTCTCTCTTACACTATTCCCCTTTCCTTTTTTATTTCATCCACTAGCTCAGTTTTTATTTTTATTATTATTCTCTTTCCTGCCTATATGCAAAGTAAACCAATAACAAAGTATTGTCTCTGTGCTGTTTTTAAGATAAATTGAAGGGCTGTACTTAAGGTTTGAAACTGTCAAAAAGCACTTTAATCACACCAACCTTGTTTATAACTGGTTGCAGTAAGAGACCTACAGACTGAATGGAAGTTTCAAATCCTGAATTTACACAGATGTGTTTATAATATGTATGAATCAAAGAATTTATGTGGAGAAATTTCATTCTAAGCTGTGATACATCTGAAGTGATGACAAAAAGTACAATTAATAAATAACCACCACTGTTTTCACTACCAATTCATTTTAGAAACCTTGGTGCCATTTAGAAACCTCTGTGATCCTGACTGGTAAAACTGTCTCTACAGAAAACAATTTGACAACAAGGTAATTCCTCTAATTTTACAATGAATCACAAGCAAATGCAGCAGAAAAAAAATTATCACTGGTGAAAGAACAGCTCAATCAAATTAACTTTATGTGGGACTGCTATTTCAACAAGAGTAGTTTTTAATCACTCTTCAACGAGTTTCCTAGGTCCTAAATTTCATTTTCTTTTAAGCATTCAAATGGAACTGATACCATCATAACTGATTTTTTAAAAAGCTTTTAGGTCCTCGGAGGTTGCATCATGGTTTACATTTACTTATAAACTGATTTATTTCCTAAAGGGAGAGCTTTTCCTGATTTTATCTTTTTCTGCTCAATCATTAAAAACAAAAACAAAAGCCTGGGTGCTGGGGGATGTAGTTTGCTTGCACAAAGGCTCACCACCTGCTAGACTCAGGTTAATGGGCAAAAACAAAGCTCCTTGCAAATTTTAGGCTTTCTGTGTGGGGTTTGCCCCAAATAGAAACACAAGCTTGAAAAAGTCTTTGATTTTGTCTTCATCTGAACAGCACAGGTGGGAATGTTCTCCCTTCATTGAGTTCCTCTGCAGATCAAACCCAGACCCAGAGTTGTTAAGAACTGTTCATGACCTGCACCATAGGGGTAAGAAACAGGAGAGGGTGAAAATTCTCCTCCTGGAATTCCACTGTCAAACCCTAGAGGCAGCAAGGAAATGATCCTAACAAATGGGAAGATTTCATACTTGGGAGTATCCCATTATACTTCTTGTCTGCTGCCACCAAGCTACGAAAAATCTTTTCCAACACCAAAGGTGAAAATCATCCCAGCTGGTGTGACCTGGGGAAGTAAAAGTCAGTTTCCCAAATGCAGCCTGCTCAAGAACATGTGCCCTGCAATTTGGCAAGCAACAGCTTGCAGAGAGACTACCTACTTGCACCACTAGGGCTGTGTACCCTTCCAGCCCCTTGCTAGTCTTAACCACGAGCAAAGCAGCAATGAGGGCAGTGGAACAAAGTCTTTCTGAGAAGTAGAAAGGAGTCAAGTTCTCTCAGAAGACAAGCCCTCCTTTGTGGAACCTGGGTAATGCTGGCAAATGGTGAGCAAGTTCAGTAGTATAAATCTTTTCTTACTGTGGGTGAGGTCTCAAAATGTTCCATTCATTTCCACAAACTTTTAGTAACTCCTTCCACTGAAGCAGAGGATGAGGCCTCTGCAATGAACAGCTACACGTACACTACTAAGCACAGGACAAGTGTGGATCTCTTTCTCCAGAGGCCACTGGCCAAGAATACAGTGAACTGGAATCTTTTTGTTCAAGATGAATTCAATCCCCACCATGCAAAGAGGTCCCTCTCTTTCAGTGGCTTCACAGCGCTTCAGTTTTAATTATAGTTAAACATGTGACATGTGCCCTTAAAAAGCAAGCAGACTTGGAATTGTAAAGAAGGAAGAATGACAGGAAGAAATTTAGGGACAACCAGAGCAGACAGACTTGGGACAAAAGGTGAAACAGAGGTATCCTGGGTTCTGGTGAAAATCAAAACAGAGTAAATTAAAGGTTATGCTCCCAGCAAGTGTTTATGAACTTTTATCCTGACACAGGGACTGTGTTAGGCAGTGGGGACTCTAAGGAGAACGAGGCTTCAGGATTAGTCCCTACCCTGGTGGGGAGGCTTGCTAGAGGGTAGGAGAGAGATATTATTAAACAAGCAACTAAAATATGTGGTGATATGATAAAAGCAATTTGGGTGCTAAGGAAACAGATGGGGCAGCTAAGCCAAAGGAAGCCAGGGAAGGCTCATGAAGAAGGGCTGTAAAGTCTAAGTGGGATCTGAGGCAGGTGAAGTGAGGGCAGAGGAGAAGGCTAAAGAGTATTGTGGGTAAAAAATGAGAAGAATGAGAATGTGGAGCTTGGGGAGAAAAGAATTTCACCATAGCTAGTGCTTGGAAGACAAGTGTGAGGACTGAGGGTGGAGATGTGGCAGGCTAGGGCAGCACCGACAAAGTGTAAAGGGCTCCCTGGAGACTTCTCTGCTTATTTACCAGTCTGCACTCAACATTCTCCTTTAAGCAAGAGTCCTCCTTTTTCTCCATTTACTTAAATATCTATCATTGATATGGACTCATGGAATCTTTTTTCCCCAATTGCTCATAATTCATTGTTGTCCTTAATTATCTTGGTGTTCAAATTCACCCATATTTAACAAGGGAGAGCCCCTTCATGTTGGCTTACAGGTCCTTGTAACATGCCACCATCATGAGCACCTTCTTACTTTCTGGCATAACAAGTTGTTTCAGGCTTGACTTGCATCTACCCTGCCCCAGGCCAAAATTCAATCATTTCTCAGAGAAGCCCTGTTTCCTTTCAGTGAGGAACAGTATTGGAGAGCAATATTAAGGGGCTTAGTGTACGTATGGCTTCTACGATGTCTGTTTCTTGGTCCTTTTAATGGAAAGACCTAGGAAATGCATGTGCATGTATACACACATAGTTGCATATACTTGCACATGTGCCAATATATACATACATGTGCACATATACATGCCCATACACATACATATACATATTTTAGAAATCATGAGTTCACACTCACACCTTCAACTTCAATCCATCTCTGTAGGATTCTTTCTTGCATTCTCCCATTCTGTATTTGTATGTGTCCCTTCCTCCACACCGAAACCCCTACCTCCAACAATATTGACATATTTACTCCCTTGCTTTATCCTATAATACACCTACAATAGTTTCAGAATTGCTTTACCCATC